GAAGTTTATATCAACGACGAAGTTTAATTTTCTAGATCTTTTATTAAAAATTGGAATAATAATGAATTTCTAAGTATTTTTCTATTTATTATTTTATTTAAGAATTTTTTTTATAATAAAACTTGCTTAGTAATACATTATATAATAAAATCAATAAAATCAATAAAATAAGTTTCATATTGCATAAAAAATTTTTTTATTTAATTAAATTTTTTTATTTAATTAATTATATTAATACAGTATATTTATTATAAAAGATTATTAAGGAAAGGTAAAAAAATTAAGTAAATTTAGAATGTGACGAAGGTGGATAAGGAAATAACGCGAGCGTGATGGTAGTTGCAGATGGTATGTGTATATGGTGGTGGCGGCGGTTATTGTGGTGGAGGAGGAAGTAATTGTAGTAAAGGAAGTGATCGAAAAAGTAATTATAGAGACGGAAAAGGTGATCGTGATGAAGCGATTATTGTGATGTTTGCAGATATTTTCGGTTTTACTATAATATAAAAACTTGATACACGATTATAATATGGTTGAATTACGGTTAAATGGGTTAAATGATATTAAATGTATATTATAGAAACGCGGTTCTGTTATAATAAAATAACTTGATCGCTAATATTATTATAAATTATAAGTTAATTTAAAATAAATACATTGTAGGTAAACAGTCATATATATTACTTTTTAAATACATTCACAATTCACAATTAAAGTAAAATGATCTCCCATCGTACAATTGTAACGATTGTACTAAAATAAACGTATATTTCGTATATTTTCAAATATTGTACAATAATCGCACAATTTTTATATCCTAAACTTTTATTGCACAAAAGTTGAACGTTTTCTGTATACTTAATTTAAGTTTATTTTCAATTGTACAAAGATCGCACATTTTCAATACACTATAAAATCGACATGGCCATTTTTATCCAAAAAACTGCAATAATTGTATGATTTCCGCACGGACTTGAACAAATATTGCACAAAAATTGGATGATCTTTTTTCATAGGGTTGTTGTCTATTGTTAGCCAAATTCTGTAAATTAACACTTATATATTTCTGTTACTACCCTTCCGAACAGCATAAATCGGTGGTAACAGTGGTGTTACTGAATATATTGGTAAATAAGAGTCATATAGCTAGAGGTACTATTAAATCGTATACAGTTCACCCTCGCTATAGTGAATTTTTATATAGTGAATAATTTGCTATAGTAAAGAAAAACTCAGGTACGGATTTTCTATATAAATAATAATTCTTAATACAGTTCACCTCCGCTATAGTGAATCCCTTACTATAGTGAATCTTAACCTTCAGCCCATGAGCTTCACTATAGTGAGGGTGAACTGTAATCACACAATTACCAACGGGATTTTTACTCAATACTACCTATCCTGGTATTCCAGTATTGTTAGTTAAGAATGACAAGGTAAACAACTACAAAATATGATTAATAATAATACACGACAGGTATAAGATGAATTTTATATTAATATGCAGAAATAACAGGTTAAGGTTAACCAAAGTACAACGATTTTATTGAATAAACGTAGGATTATGAGTTTACAACAAAATGATAAAAAGTGATAGAGGTATATTTCTTAGAGTAATATAACTTAATATGACTCGCTCTATAACTTCAATTTAACTTATTCTATCGATAAGTTGGCAGAAGGTATATTTATATCTATTATCCATCTCTTTTCTGACATCAAATGCGAAATATAATCTATTGGTATCTGTTTCATCGCAATATATCAATGTAATTACAATAGGGATAATTCTTACTTTTTAATAGAACACAAATGACAAATTTAAACGGTAAATTACTATTGAGCTAATTATCCTACAATGTCTCTTAATAAAAATCGTATACATATAAACAATACAAATACAGAAAATAAATAATATAATATAATATAAACAATAATAAAAATAACTATACTAATACTACATATGTAAATATGAAATCAATATCATTTATTAAGTTAATCCAGTGTACACAAATCAGCGGTTGTATATCGACGTATATTGGCATATAACATTAGAAATCGACATGTACACAAACATAAACATACGTAAATCCATCGGATTGTCATACAACACCAGAAATCATGTGCGCAAGATTTCGCATAACAGCCGCAACACTATTAATACTTCTGCTAATTTCATACCTAAATGCAGCATAAATAATACCTTTTATAGTCTCCGGGAAAAGTATAACAAAAGATCCAGCTTATAAATATGTTGACGAAATTTTGGATTTGCAACAACATTAATTGGTTGGAAATCATCGATTATCCAGTCAACAAGAAATTGACGAAATTCTTGTTGATTTTTCTCTGAATAATGATGCTTATGCACCTTCATATCTTGCTCTTCTTGATCGTTTGACTATATTTTTTGTTTAACTTTTCAATAAGAATATTCAACCAACCTTTACGATTTTACCATTTTTAGTAATATCATGCTTATTTCTTAAATGATTTATTGCATTACTAATAGATCCACTAGACTTAATATATGTTTTTTTACATGGAATCTGACTAGCAGTATCAATAACTTTGCAAACGATTACTTGACGTAGTACACCTTATACTTCCTAAATTTCTTCATCCCAGTACGCCCAAACCCAGCTAGTTTTAGGTTTCTTATTTACTAATTTAACAGAACTTTCGGTCTCATTATCACTAAGTAATACTAGTGCATAATCAGGACTTTCAATCTCACTATCCTCAGTAGTGGTGGCAATAGTGCATTATTAGGATGCATTCATTTTAGCTGAAAGTATTTCTAAATTTTAAGTTCATCAAGTTTGATTGATTTTAATGATAAATTAAATGACATGCTTCCTGATAAAAGAAAAAATCAAGAACTTTTATATAATTAGTTAACTTTATTAATTTGAACTAATCTTCGAGAGTATACCTTTATATAATATTATTAATTATTTTGTGCAAACATTTTACTGTAAGAACATAGACAATGTTCGTAGAATAAATTTTTTAGACATTTCCTAGCAACAATGTTTCCACATCCCACGTTATCAGTTAATTCACATAATTCACATTACTTAGTATTACACTTTCTTGATAACGAAACTTCTAGTCAGATTCTCGCAAAATAATTGATCTTTATTCTTAAGTAAAATATTGCATCAAATCTTTATACATATTTACAATTGAAGTAATTTATTCTTATTCAATTTAATAAAAGAAAGCAATTTCTAAAAATAAAATGGTCAATATTATTATTAAAAAGAAAGAACACCAAAAAGAGAAATCTTACTAAACTATTTTGAAAAAAAAGAAGGAATGTTTAATACCATATCTAAAGGAAAGGATACTAAAATGAATTTGGCGAGGAACTTCTTGTTTCTTTTCCATCTAAGAATCGCTTCCAAGAGTCTATAGCAATTCTGTAAAAACAAATAAATAGAAAATTAGTAAATGTTTTTTAAATAAAAAAAAATATCACCCCATCTAAGACTCACCTTCCAAGTTGAATCCACAATCCAAGAGTCCATTCTACAGAAAGAACCGACGTTTAGTAAATGCTTTTGTAAAAAGACCCAATTCCATTCACCTCAAGAAGCTATTCCAATACCAGTCTTCAAGGTGATTGTCACTAAAAGAAAATAAAATGAACGTTAGTAACGTTCTTGGGATGACTCCCCCTTTCCAATTACCTCAATATTTAAGAAGCCATTCCAATAGCGGTCATCTCTATAAAAAAAGATTGTGCCGTTTGTAAAATGTAAAGAGATACAGACTTTCTCTTTTTATTTACCTCAATTCTCATAGTTCTCAAAGTGTATTCTCTTAAAAAAAAAAAAAAAGAACGTCAATAGCGTTATTGATACTCTCCCCTCAGTTTCCATTTACCTCAAGAAGTTTCAAGGTGATTATCCCAAAAGAAAAAAAAAGAACATTAATAATATTCTTTTAAAGAGTCCAGAACTCTCATTCTCCCATTTACCTCAAAGAACAATTCTCGCGTCAAAGTAACGTTTTTCTTAAAAAAAAAGCGAACGTTAATAACGTTCCTGAAACCTTCAAGTGGTAGTCTCTAATGGTTGTACTTTAAATTCAATAAGGGAAATCTTATACAATATATATATGCGATTGAAAAAAAATATTTTTTTTTATTTATATTTTATAAAAAATATTTTATTTTTAATTAAGAAAGAAACTGAAATTTTTTTGTTTTGTTTATAAAGGATAAAAGGGGTTCCGGATCTGATGGATGATCCGACATCATCCGATCTCAATCCGTCACCCGATCCGTTAAAAAAATGCTCATCCGATCTGATTCATCCAACAAATGACGGATATCCGAATTTCAAACGGATGGCAGATGTACCAATTTTATGCTTTTTTTTACCAAAAGTTCATTAGAAAAAAAATAGAAAAATTTCGATAAAAAAAATATCTTTTAGAAAAAAAATTTATTGCAAAGAAATTTCGCTAAAACTTTTGGATAAAATAATGTGCTAATGACGTATTATATTTGTATTATTAAAGATTCCTTTTATTCTCATTACCCTCTAACTGATGGAAAATTTTGGTACTATGATAAAACGTAAAATATTCGCAAACTGTACATAAAACGTTCTCACCTTAATTAACTTTAAATAATAATGTTAGCTGAGATGGAACAACAAAATGTTTTCTCGGCAAAGCATTATTATATTCTTTATCGTTATAGTAAGGTATCGAAATCCATGAGAATTCAAATATAGTATATAATGATTTTATTTCATCAAAAAAAGAAAGTGATTAAATTATTCGTAATATCCTATTTTGATATTTTCGTTTGCGTTAATAATTTAGATTTTTTTTGGGCATCGCGTCCGTCATATATTACGTACAACAAGTTCTCTCATTTTTTATACCAAGGTATTTTACGTTAAAATATCGTTTGCCCTTTCCAATTTTTCTTTGATGTCCGCTGGTATTTCGATAATATTTAATCTTATTGGAAGGACATTTGATACACTATATTATAAAATACCTTTTTTCTGAAAGACAAAGTATAAAACATGAAGAACCTAGAACCTACAAATGTTATTGAATATCTGAGAAAGGATGATGATACTATAGAAATTACATAAAGATTTTTTCTTACATTATTGTTATATTTTTCTTTCTTTCTTTAGAAACAAGGAAATAGACATTTTAAGAGGTTTAAAAAATAAAATTTTGTTTCGACTATTGTTAAAAAGGTAATGGAAAAATTTTTCGCCCATTTTTATAAACCTTTTTGTATCCAAATTAGAGTTGGAATGAATAAGTGCCAAGCTATTTGTATGATTTGGGCGTTTTTTTTTTGCATATTTAAATTTTTGTTTTTTTTTTGTGCGCGCTTTGAATTATAACCAAATCTTCCGAAATAAATTATCTGATGCAATTTGAATTCATTGAAATGTCTTTGTTCACATAAAACTTTAATTAAATTGTATTAATTGATCAGGTGACAATCTCTTTACAATTAAAATTATTGTTACACAAAATTAAACCTTTAACAAGGACTAAAAAATTTCTTTGTTTTCTTTATTTTTCCTTTATTTTCCTTTTTTAGTTTAATCAATTACATATCTGCAAGACAAAATAAATTGTTTGTTTAAAAAAATTCGAATTTTTTATTTTCTTTATTTTCCTTTTTAAAGATAAAAAACTATTAAACAAGCTCAACCAATCACTCCTCTAAAGAACAAAGCTCGAATAAATTAATTGTTAAATTACGTCGTTATATTAAAGATGAAAGAAAGAAATGTTTGAAAGTTTTTTTCTAATTATTTAAAGATAAACTACAAAGAATACCAAATTTATTGTTTGTAAAATTAATTTCGTTTTGTTGATCATACAGCCTATTTAATAATATTGAAAAAAATCAATATATAAATGGCTTCCCACTTGTTAAGAATTTCACCAATTCACCAATTCAACTAATTCAGAAAATCAAATAAAAATTTTTTAAAGAATAATTCTTTTAAATAAGAAATTAAAAATATCAAAACACAAAAAGATCCAAACGCTATAAAAATGAATTCGCGTCAAATCTTCTTTGCTCTCTTGATTGTGCTTATGGCTACTATTGTAACAGCCTCTCCTTTGAATTTAGATCAGTTAATTAAGAGGTAAATACAAATACAATATTAATACTTTTTAAAAATCAACGAAAGAAATCTATTAATTTTATTAATTTAATCATTAAAGAAAAAATGCTCAAAAAGACGAAAGTCCATCGAAAGAAAAAGACGGCAAAGTCAAGGCTAGTACGTTTGCAACTCATGAAAAAGGCACAAGTCACAAATAAAGGTAGAATAGCAGGCGGCGCCTAGTTTATTCATCATCATATTTTGTATATTAGAAACTTTTTATCAAACATTATTTATTCATTCTCACTTATTTAGTATTATTTCAAAGCATGATATAATAATTTATCGCATTATTGTAGATTATAGAATATTTTATATAAAAAAAATTTTACATATATAGTTACTAGTCATAAAGTCCTAAATTATTAACCTCATTCCCCTTCAATTTCAATTTCATTTCTTTTCTTTTAGAAATCATAAGTTTTTGGAAAACTTCGATATTGTTTTCTTTAAATTTTGTACCAATTTCTCTTTTAAAAGAATTAAATAGAAATGTGCTTTACCTTTATATTCACAAATAAGTGATCTTTTATCTTCCGCAACTGGATAAGGATTTCGTCATTTCGAAATTTAGTAATAGTATGTAGTTTTTAATATTTGTCCAGATTAACATCCGTTCATAGTTGACTTTACGTGGAATTACATCGCTAGTATCTGTTATATAGGTATTATCTGAGTGATACGGAAAGGTATTGCCGTATTGGCATCTCTACTCAAGTGATAAAACATTCACCACTCGCTCCTTTTCGTCTCATTACTCGAGTTATCTAGCTATAGTTAAAAATTAAAAAATAAATTAATTAAGAAATAATTTTCTTTAAAAAAATATTTTGAAACTCATCATTATCATAACTATTTATATTCATTGCAGAAACTTCATATTTTTAAACAACGTTGACACTGCGCCATAATCACGTGATTCATCTGTCGTTTTGTGCGTCATTATTGAACGTCATACGACGCGTTGCTTTTTTAATTTACCGTAAAACCGATTTCATTGTACCTATTTTACTATTGTAAACGTATAGTCAAAACGTAGTAATTTATTTTTTACAATGTTGTAAACGCACTTTATTTGCATATATATTTAATAAAGCAAACAATGTTATATATTACATACTACGCCAGCTAACTATTAAATTATTCATTATTAAGTATTGATAATATAATTCTTTATATAAAATGTATAAAAGTATCTGAAAATAAAATTATTTAATAAACATGTATTGCTAAAGGTAATTTGAAAAAGTCTGTAAAAATGAAACTTTTTCCTTAAAACGAAATAATCCCAATAAAGGGAGCCTCTTACTGAAATTCTACACGTTTAAGGACTCCAAAAAATAATCTGTCCAATAACAAGAAGTTTTGAAGAAACTGAGATCTAAAAGAAAAATAAAAGTAACATTAAAAATTTTTCTAATTAAAGAAAACAAAAAAAAGTAAGTTTCGCAAATAAATTTACCGTCTCCAATCTCCCCAATCAAAACCCTTCTATAACTACAAAAAAAAAGTAAAAATAAGGATGTTTCCAATACTAAGGAAAAGGTAAATTTCGTTACGAAACTTATAGTTACTGTAAAGTTTCGAATATGGAATAGAGTATTGGAATCTTGAAATAATAAGTAAAACAAGTAAAATAATTTTTCGTGATGAGAGAGCATTTTAAGTTCTTGTATCTGTTCTTCTGTATCCAGAATCAAAGTCAAATTTTCATTTTGATTCATTATATGCCAATAGTAATACAATTCCTGTCAAAAATAGTTCCCACTGAAGTCTTACATGTCAAAAGGTCCGGACATCTGAAAGAGAAGTATTGAAACATAAAACCTAAAAAAAANAAATTAGTTTAACGTTTCGTTAAATAAAAATGAAAAAAATTTAATTTGAAAGAATTTAGAAAAGTAAAAAGAAACCAACCGTTGGAAATCTCATACATCCAAAGGGAAAGAAACAAGAAAATAAAATTTTAGTTAACCGCCAGTTAACGTTTTGTCAAATAAAAAAAATGAAAGAAAAAAAAAATTTAACTTACTACAAGAAATACAAAAGAACCGCCTAAAAAGAGAAGAAATGAACTGTTAGGAACTGTTTGTTAAAAGATGGAAGAAATAAATAAAAAACTTTACCAAGATGTCTCCCAAAGTAAATTGAAAGAACCATCTAAAGAAAGAAAAAAATGAACAATTAGAACCGTTCATTAAAAAAATAAAGATGAAAAAAAAAGAAAAAAAATCTTACCGGAATTCTGATATCCCTTCCTCTACCAATTTCTTCTTCATCAATTTTAAATTCATCATATTTAAAATAATGAATATACTCATTCTCTAGCTTTTTCTCAATCCATTTTTTTACTGAAGTTATTGTCATTTAAGTTATAATAATATACTTATTTTTTTTTAAAAAAAATCGGTATGAACTCTTAATTTCCATTGCATAATGCAATGATTTTTGTCTAATAAAGAAAAATATCAAAATATTGCTAAACGTTCCGCTAAAGATTTATTTTATTAGAGAGGGTGAAACAAGAGGAAGAGAAAAAGACGGGGAAGGGAAAGGGTGAGACTATGAGAAAGGAAAAAGGTTTGTTAAAGTTTTAAAAAAAAAGTGGCTGATCTGTTAAAATTGTCACGTTAATCACGTGATACATAATTTCGGCCTTTTCCCCGAAATTTGAATTTTTTTTTCCTGCTTGACATAAAATAAATTTGATTTTTTTTTTCATAATTTTTTTAGATATGTATATCCATTATTGCCTTAGGGGAATATAAAATAATAAAAAAATAAATGGCATTCAGAAATATTTTAAGAAATTATTATTAAATTTTTTTTCTTACATTTAATAGCTGATACTTAAGTACAAATATCTGCGCATAAAACAATTGATTATTTCAGTATAATATAGTATCATCATCGTTACTATGCAATTATAAGCATTGTAGTCGCATTTTCAACATCAATATTATGAAAATGAAAAAAAATAATACTTAAAAAAATTTTAATATAAAAAAAGCTATATTTATGATATAGTCACAATGTATCAAACAACGCAATCACAGTATTGTAGATGTATTGCAATTTCGTATTAACGTACAATGCATTGTTACGTTACTAAAATAGCAACGTGATACTACTACAATGAAAAAAATCACAGGTTTCAACAATGTTTTTTCTACTCATTTGATAGTCCATTGTTGGTGAGTAGCAGTAATTGTAATTAACATGGCCCAAAGGCTGGAATTCATGTCTGCACTTTTTACTTTATAATATTTAAAACAAAATAATCCACAAGGTGGTATTATAATTAACACGCAATCACCGCCGCAATACATCCGGTGTTTACTTTTGGTGTTTACAGTGCTACTAAAGCTGAAGTGCGTAAAACGCAAAATTTAAATCTTATTTAAAAAAATTTTTTCTTTGCTTAAACAATTTCTTTTGGATCATTACTAGTAGTTTGACGAGATCCATGTCACAAGTTAGCGAATTACACAATATTACTATTAATGCTGTATGTCCAAGTGTCACCGGTACTAAGTATAATTTTAAATTTTATATTTAAATTTATAGATAATGAATTTACAGTATTTAATAAGTCTCTATCAGGAACTGAAATGACAGATGGTGCAATTGGAGTTCCTGAATCCTGATCATTGGTGGTCACCAATTGATGACGTTGTTGAAGCATATTTTAAATGTATTTATAATCCAAAATGTGAAGTATTCTTATTTTATCATATTTTACTTTTAAAAGACATACATTTTGATGCAATTTCTATCTCTTTTAGAAACTTTTTTCAGTTTGGAATAAAGAAACGAGAGAAGAAGAAATGATACAAGGAAATTATATGCTCTATTTTATATCAAGAAAAGAAAAATCAAGCTAAAATGTAAAAGAAAATATTCATTATGAAATTTATTTTATTAAAAAAAATAGATGAGAAATTATTAAAGACAAATTATCATATTTCAGAATCAATTTTTATTTATTACTATTCGCTAACTTCATGCTAAGTGCTAACCATGTTTAAATATGTTGTACGGACACAAAAAAAAAGTTAGCATCAAACGTGAAAAGTTACATTTAATCACCCCTATAAAAAAAAATCATTCGGATTATATCATGTTTTTAAATAACTAGAAATTATTATGTGTATAATAATTGTATAAAAATGCACAATATTATAATTTATCTGTAAATCTAGGTGTATAAAAACGTACAAAACTACAATTTATCTAATAATTATATGATATTTGATTTATTTTTATAAAAACTAAGAATTTAGTAATTGTAAATAAAATGCACGTTTATTATAATGTCTTTTAAATTGCATATTATTAAACGTTATTATTGTGTATTTTATGATTTTTATCCAATAATTGCACAATATTTGTAACATTATTATTATGTATTTTTATCCAATAATTACGCAGTATCAACCTCTTTGTCTACGATATAAAATAATTTATCAATTTCAATAAAACCTACACAATGGTCAATAGTTGAGCATCTACAAACTCGTATGCTCTCATTCGTCTAATGTTTTTACACTAACATCATCTTCATCATTAACAGGAGATGTCCACTGGATGTAAGCTAGCATTACCTTTGATCCTTCAAATTCATAAGTTAAGTAATACCAACTATGGCGTAAAAGTCTTGAACTTCAAATACTGATGGAAGGTTGCATAAATATCTACTTCTATTTTTTCATAACAATATAATTACTCAAACTCTTCAATAGTTTCCATAGATTCTTCTACTAAATTACTCACAAATTCTATAGACTCTTCTAAACCATATATATTCAAATTCTTGATAATTTATTAAATCAAATTCAGATTGTTGTTGATATAATTCATGTGGCGGAGATGTATTTATTATACTGGATTTTGAATATGATCATCTTGTAAATCATTGGGACCTTGTATATTTCGTCTATCACGTTGCCGGTGTCGTGTTCGAGCAATTTTCGATTCCCAAGAGCTACCTTCCTTTTCCAATGAGTAAATTTGGCAAGTACACCAGACCAAATTCTCAGGCATTATGTTTTAATAAAAGAAATAATAATTAATGCAATTTTAAGTAAAATTTAATTAAGTTTATGATTTTAAATTTTTTATATTTTATATTCTTTTTTAAAAAAAAGAAACACATGTTACTAACAAAAAAAAATTCCCCCTAGTATTTCATACAAAAGTCATAAAGATATATGTAAATTTTATATTTAATTTTATATACAATATTTCGCGTTATTAACAAAAAAAAAAAAAAATTTATATATATGTCGGTGAAACGTTTGTCGGTGAAACGAAAAAAATCGAATAAAAATATCCTTTTTTTAAGTACAATTGAAAATTAAATATTGTTTGTGTAAAATCCTATAACAAACAATAATAATCTCATTAAATATTGGCTGCTAATATAACAATTAGATATTATATAAATGCTAACTGATTTTGAAGCGTAGCAATTGACAAAGTATATTTAAACTTTTTTTTGATTTAAGTCAAAATATATAAATTAACTTTTTTCTTTTAACTTATATTGTAAAATTTGTATCTCAAGTTTATATTTAAAACAAGATGGCTTATAATAAAATAAAATTAAACAAAAACAAATATAAGTGAAGAGGAAGCAAACCAGTCCGTTGTAGATATTGAAACAGAAATCAGTAAACAAATTTCAGATAATGAAGACGATACATGAAACACGTAAAATATTCGCAAACTGTACATAAAAAATCACACATCATAATAACGGTACCATTTTTTTTTAAAAAAAATATAGTTATTTGACGGATGGAATAACAAAATGTTTTTCTCGGACGAAGCATTATTATATTCTTTATAGTAAGGTATCAAAATCCACAGGTAAGAATTCAAATATAGTATATAATGATTTTTTTAAAAAAAACAGTAATTAAATTACCCGTAATATCCTATTTTGATATTTTCGTTTGTGTTAATAATTTAGATTTTGGACATTGCGTTCGTTATATATTACGCACAAGTTTTCTCATTTTTTATACCAAGGCATTTTACGTTAAAATATCGTTTGCCCTTTCCAAGTTTTCTTTAATGTCCGCTGGTGTTTCGATAATATTTAATCTTATTGGAAGAACATTTGATACGATATATTATAAAATACCTTTTTTCTGAAAGACAAAGTATAAAACATGAAGAACCTACAAATGTTATTGAATACCTGACGAGAAAGGTTGACGAGGACGAGATGATGATACTATAGAAATTACATAAAGATTTTTTCTTACATTATTATTATGTTTTTTTTCTTTTCTTACTTTCTTTAAAAACAAGGAAATAGACATTTAAGAGGTTTAAAAAATAAAATTTTGTTTCGACCATTTAAAAAGGTAGCGGAAAAAATTTTTCAACCATTTTTATAAACCTTTTTGTATGATTTGGGCGCTTTTTTTTTGCATCATATTTAAATTTTTGTTTTTTTTTGCGCGAGCTTTGAATTATAGCCAAATCTTCCGAAATAAATTATCTGATGCAATTTGAATTCATAATATTCGAAATATTTTTGTTCACATAAAACTTTAATTTCTTTGTTTTCTTTATTTTTCCTTTATTTTCCTTTTTTAGTTTAATCAATTACACATCTGCAAGAAAAATAAATTGTTTGTTTAGCTCAACCAATCACTCTTCTAAGGAACAAAGCTCGAATAAATTAATTGTTAAATTGTCGTTATATTAAAGACGAAAGAAATGTTTGAAAGTTTTTTCGATAAACAAAGAATACCAAATTTATTTGTAAAATTAATTTCGTTTTGTAGGGAATACAGCCTATTTAATAATGTTGAAAAAAATCAATATATAAATGGCTTTCCCACTTGTTAAGAATTTCACAAAATCACCAATTCAACAAATTCAGAAAATCAAATAAAAATTTTTTAAATAATAATTCTTTTAAATAAGAAATTAAAAATATCCAAACACAAAAAGATCCAAAACGCTATAAAATGAATTCGCGTC